CATCTATTTTCTCACCAGTTAGTCTAAGATCTATTAAACCAGCAGAACTTCAGGGTCAGAATGCATGGCTGAGACGATGTTCAGAGGAAGGATTTAGGATGATTATGAACTAGCACATTTACCCAGCATTTCTTAGGTCCTTAAAGAGGGGCACAGGGTATGGCGCAGAGGTGGGTGGGGGGTACAGGAATCAGGTTTGGGGTATGAGAGGCTACGTCTAAACTGCTAAGCTTTTCCGGGATACCAGAGGTCCAAGGAATGCATTGTCTAGACTGCTAAGCTTTTCCAGGATACCAGAGGTCCAAGGAATGCATCTGCTTTTTTGGAACAGTTTCCGGAAAAGCGGATGTGTTCATTCAGCATCCCTGTATTCCTCTCGGTGAGAGGAATAAGGGATGTCCTGAAAGAGGATTTTTTTCCGAAATGGTGCAGACGGGCCAAATTTCAGAAAAGCCTTTTTCGGGAAAAAAGCAGAAAAAGATATGCAAATTGCAGTTCGTAATTTGCGTATCTTTTTCCGACTTTTCTCTGCAGTGTAAACATAGCCAGGAGGGGCTCTGGCAAAGGGACTGCGCCTGTATGTGTGTGGTGTGTGGGTGTGCGTGCACACGGATAGGAGGGCAGGTGGTAAAAAGGGAGTTATGAAACTGGGTATCTGGGTAAGAAAATAGCAGATTAAATTAAGTGTTGATAAATGCAAAGTAATGCACACTGGAAACATAATTCATACCATACATAGAAAATGAGGGGCTCTAAATTAGCTGGAACAACTCAAAAAAGAGATACTAGAGTTAAAAAAAAATCTGTTCAATGTGCATCAGCAGTCAAAAAAAGCCATCAAAATGTTAGAAACTATCAGGAAATTGATAGAAAATACTACTGTACCCCCCGAAGAGTCTTAGCAAGGCTGCTTGCCCTTACCCTTCTTGTATCTGTTAGGGAGCAAGAGCAAAGTGCACAGCTTAACTGTCCCCTGCACTCCCCAACCAGAGTGAAGTTTTCCCTTGACAAAGAGGAATAGCCAGCAATATCCCGTATGAATTAGGAGGGAGGAGCTTCGCCCCTCCCACCCTTCCTAAAGGACACCGAGGTTGGGAGAGTTGGGGTTGAGGCAATTCTGGATGGGGATATGCCCCCAGCCAGCATCTTTCACCTGCCTAGTGATTTTGTCTTTTTTCTATATGGTTTTCTGAGAAGCAATCCCATTCCAGGCACATCCCATTTTCCTGGCATACTCAAACCCTGACCTTGCTTTAAGTTATGATAAAAGGAAGCTGGAGACCAGATTTGGCGGTCCTAGCTCTTACTGCTTAAGAGGAGTTCTCGAACAAACAGACAAAAACCAGACAAATTCAAATATAGAGTAGACAAAGGAACCTTTTGCCAAAGGACGGGTTCCACCTAAACCAAAACAGAACCAAACTGTTTGCTGGCATATTAAATTAGATAGGAGGAAGAGATTTTAAGCTAAGGATGGAGGAAAGCTAATAGGTGCAGGGGAGCACAAGGTTCTGACAGGTACCCCTTTGGGAAGGATTTTTTAAAGGGGATAGTTGATATCTTAGTAAAGTGGAAAGGATAGAAGATAATAAAGTACAGGTAAGAACTGACAAGAAACAGTTAAACAGAAAAGAGTCCCATTCAACTACCTCATGTGCAGGCAGACAACCAAATAGTGACAAATTTTACATGTTCTTGTATACAAATGCTAGAAGTCTAACTAATAAGGTGGGAGAGCTTGCACGCCTGGTGTAAAATGAGGACATGGTTATAACAGGCATCACAGAAACTTGGTGGAATGATGATAATTAATGGGACACGGCAATACCAGGGTACAAAATACATAGGAAGAACTGAGTAGGACTTGCTGGTGGGAGAATGGCAATATATGTGAAGGAAAACATAAAGTAAAATACAGTAAATATCTTAAATGAACCTAATTGTACCTTAGAACTCCTATGGACTGAAACTCCATGTTTGAATAGAGCAGCGGCACTACCTTCCTGCAGGGTCACAGCGCTTGGATCCAGCCAGCTGCTTTTCCTGGCTTCCCAGCTTAGGGTACACATGGCGTGGCTGGGGGAATGGCAGGCGAGAGTGGCCCAACAATGAAGGGGTAGATTCCTTTTTTTTTTTGCTCAATCAAATTTTGCGGCCCCCATGTGTGTCGCAAATAAAAAAAGGTTGCGCACCACTGGAATAGAGTATCGCAGGAGGAATATACTCTGGACCACCTGGCTGGGACAGTGACTGTGAAATGCTCAGGGAGATTAGAGTGGCTACAACAACAACAAAAGAAAACCCAATAATAATGAGGGATTTCATCCATCCCCATATTGATGGGAGAGATGTCACTTCAGGATGGGCTGCATAGACAAAATTGCTCAGCAGCATTAATGACTGTTTCTTAGAACAGCTAGTCCTGGAGTCCGCAAGGGGAGAGGCAATTCTTTATTTAGTCTTAGGTGGTACACAGTATCTCATCTAAAAGGTGAATACAGATGAACATTCAGAAACAGCAATCTAGGGTTGGCCTGGATGAGTCATGGCCCATCCACTTGGCCCCCAGGCCCACCCCCAGCCCTGACTCTGGTCTGGCCCCAGCACTATCCCCCCAGGCCTGGAGGACACCACACACAGGGTACCCCTGACCCAACCGGAAGGGGAAGGGCAGCAGTGGCACAGTAGTGGAGCACCAGACAAGCACACTGTGCATGCGTGCCACAGCAGGAGGGGGAGGGATGAAGAGTGGCCTGGTGGGGGTGGCAGAGAAGATCCTCACAAAAGATAGCCCTGCTACCTTGGGGAGCTGGGATAGGATGGGTGTTGGGAGCCATGTTCACTGGAAAGCAGCATCTCCTTCCACAACTGGATGTGTGTGCAAGGCCATGGAGAGTCCCTGGTCAGAGCATCCATCACCCACCCCCGATCCCTACTGCCCCTGATCCTTCCTGATTCCCTCCCTCTTCCCCCATCATCGCTCGCCCACCTAGCATTGGGACCCACACAAATGTCTCATAGGCTATGTCTAGACTGCAGGTTTCCTTTGGAAGAAGCTTTCCCGGAAGAAATCTTCCAAAAAAACTTCTTCCGAAAGAGAACGTCCACACTGCGAAAGTACATCGAAAAAGCGATTTGCTTTTTTGACAGATAGCGTCCACACTGAATGGATGCTATCTCACATGTAAGCTGTAATTACTACGGGTGGAATGGCCATCAGGGCACCTGTGATTTTTCCTCTTTCCTCTTCTTTCGAAAGAACTCCCTCTTCCATGATCACACACGCCTTTTTCTGAAAGAGCTCTTTCGGAAAAAGACGTCTTTCTCGTAGAAAGAGGATTACCAACGCCAGATAAAACCCTTCTGTTCTTTCAATTTACTTTCGAAAGAATGCGATTGCAGTGTGGACGTTACTCAGGTTTTGTCAGAAAAATGGCCATTTTACTGACAAAACTCTGTAGTGTAGACATACCCATACTGGCTACGTCACTGTATCAACCACAATATAATTGCATGTAACATCCTTGTGGGGGTTGGGGCAGGGCATAGCAAAGAAACCCATCGTAGTAGCATTTAACTTCAAAAAGGGAAACCACAGAAAAATGAAGAAGCTAGTTTCATGGAAATTAAAAGAACACAAGTAAAATGCCTGCAAGCTGCATAAAACCTATTTAAAAACACCATAATAGAAGCTCAAACAAAATATATACCCCAAATTAAAAAAAACCCAGCAAGAGGACTAAAAAAATGCCCCCATAATTAAACAAAAGAATAAAAGGGGTGGCTAGAGACAAAATAGCATCCTTTAAATATTGGGAAGTATTCACTCACAAATTCTGAAGGAACTCAACTAGGAAACTGAAGAATTATTAACTTTGGTATGTAATCTATTACTTAAATCAGCCCCTGTATCAAATGACTGGACTATAGTTAATCTAACCCCCATTTGTGCAAAAGACTACAGAAGTGATTGTGGCATTTATAGGCTGGTAACCCTAACTTCAGTATCAGGCAATCTGGTTGAAAATATAGTAACGAATAGATTTATCAGACACATGGATGAATATGATATGGTGGGGGAAAAGTCAACAAGGCTTTTGTAAAGGGAAATCATGCTTCACCAAACTATTAGAATTCTTTCAGGGTGTGAGCAGACTTATAGACAATTGTGATCCAGTGCCTACTGTATAACTTGGACTTTCAGAAAACCTTGGGGAGGGTCCTTCAAAGGCTCTTAAGAAAAGTGGAGCTATGTCTAGATTACAGAGGTTCTCCGGGATACTGAAGGTATCCCAGAAAAACTCTGTCACGTCCAGGAAACTCGTTTGCTCTTCCAGCATTTTTTGTGGAAGAGCAGATGTGGTCTTTTGGAAGCCCTGTCTTCCTTGTGCCATGAGGAAGAAAGGGCTCTTCCGAAAGAGAACGGCCCGGTGTAAACTGTTTATATCAAAAAATTGTTAAATTAATTGTATGTATCTTAGCAAGTATTTATTTTCTTGGCAAACAGCTGAGGTCAAAAGAAGCAAATCTGAACATTCCGTGACTAAATTAATCCTATTACACAAAGCAGACATTTCATTTGATATGTGCTTTTGTAAGATTCAAGCGAGTATCAAAGTCAGTGTGAAAGGAGAGACAATAGACATAGTAACTAAGCTCACTCAGCTTCCTAAATAGTTTGTACGCATTCAGAAAGTTCAAGTCAGTTACATTTTGCATTAGCATCTTTATTTACATAGAGAAGGTATCACAATTTAAAAAGCTTCATCTCACACTCTACCTTGGGTAATATTCCTGGTATGGTAGGACAGGTCAGAAATGGTATGGCATGACTAGATCCAAATGTAATGTACCAGAGATCCTGATGCCTTTTTTATTATTATATTGAAGTGTATACGTTACAAGAAATCTCAATGCAAAAAACAAACAAGCAATAAGACGGTGCTTGGTCCTGCTGTGAGGGCAGGGGACTGGACTTGATGACCTCTGGAGGTCCCTTTCAGTTCTAGTATTCTATGATTCTATGATTCAATCTTGCACTCCTTAGTCATGCAAGCCCCCACTAACTTCTGTAATTGGACCCATTGTTAGTATAATGTTATGGCTTCACTCAAGTTTTGTGTAATACAACCTTTCTATCATGTTAAACATTGATTTCTGTTAAGAGTTTTGCTTGCTAGAGAATATATTATTGGAGCCACTATGAAAAGTCATAGCCATACCACACACAACATTAATAAGTAATATATTGGGTCTGATTTTGATCTTTCCTACTTTAGTATGAATCAGGATTAAGTATCAAAGTCAGTTGAGTTACTGTGGAAAAAAATCAGTGTGAGATAAGAATCAAGCCCATTATTTTAATATCCATCTAGATTATTCTACCCTTGAGCTACTTCTTCATGATTTCATGTTAAAGTCAGACAGATCAAGTCAATATTATTAATGCCCTTTACAAACCAGTTTTATCTTCATACATGTTTATTTTTGTGGTTGCCAGGGGCAAAGCAAACCCCTTGGGAATGGGGTACAGCTCCCATAGATCTGTCTGGGACAAAACCTGAAGAGACAATGGTGGTGTAAGTTGGTCTGTGAACAGGTGTAAGTAGTAAAATAATGTAACTTGCACCAGCCTTACATTGAGTGCATGTGTTCTGTGTCTATCTAAATGTAATTTCCTTTACATTGATAGAGTGTGAGGCTGCTGAGCATTTCAGTTACATTACCATACTGAAGAAGATGTGGAAAGGGGAAAGTGGCATTTAAAAGAGGTAAGTTATAACTACTTAAGAGACTGTAAAAAATCCATTTGCTATTTACAATTGAATACAAAATTGCTGTCCCCTTAGAAATACAGCTTCTAGAATTATGGGGGAAAGAACTGTAAATCATTTTTGAAAAAGTTTAATCCCCAATTAATCCATTCCTGGCATGGTAGCTCTCCTAGTGAGTGTCACTCCCAGCAATGAAATGAGTACCTGGAAATGCTGACTCAGTATATCAAGGAGTGCTTAAGGATGAGTACCTTAACCAGCATTCACAGGTCCCAGCTTCCATGTCATATGGGCACACAAATCCAGGATGGTATTTGCTTAGAAAAGATCACTAATGAGCAGTATTGATTAATAAAGCCAACATTAGCAGCAGGCTGTTGAACACCCTTCATCACATATTTCAAGTGCATCCATGTGAAGTTTGAGTTGAGAAGTATGGGTACATATGAACTCTGTGATTTGAATACACAGGGCCATACCCTGCCATTTTCCCATGCATAGATGTGTCAGTGAAGTCAATGAGAGTCACACGTGAGGGTCAATGTCAGGATACGGTCTTTGATGTCAAACAGACAACAGGCCAGATTCTGATCTTGGTTACAGAGGTGTGAATCTGTAGTAACTCCTCTAATTCATATAATGGAGTTCAGAATTGGACCTAACAACTGCTGCTTGTACAGTCAACCGAAGTTTCTCATTCGCTGCAACAGGTGCAAAATTAAGATAGCACTGAACGTTTCTTTTCCAACACTCTCACCTGTGGTGCATGTGTATGTGGGTATGTATTTGGTACATTTTGAAAAAGAAAAAAATATATTGAGAGAAGAGTTTTTGAGCTTTAAGATATTTCTAACTCTTAAAAAGACAAATTAATGTGACATGTCTAGCTGTTAGCATGATGCAGCTCATGATCACTATTATACATGTAATTATTATAAGCGTTCCAATCATCTGAACACTGGTATTCTTGATTGTACTGAAGATACTGGCAATACACTGTTTCTTTTCCTAGGAAGTATGATGGAGCAAATCTTTGTAAAACAGCTGCACTGAACTGATAAGTCAGCTTCCTTCGGATTTTAATGATTTCCCCTGTTCTTCCATAGTTCCTCAGCGCTCTGGCCATTTTCTGATATGTCATGACCTTGCGGTTTCCTTTTCTTTCCCCCCACAGCTCAGCAAGTTTCTCCTTGTTTTTGGAAACAAACTGGAAAACACCATGGGGCTTATCCACCCACTGGATGCAGTTTGCCATATCTGGGTCACACAGAGACTCATGAAGATATTCAAACAGGCGAAGCTTTTTTCTACCTATCAAAAATAAAACACAAGTGGTTAGGGCATAACTCAGAGATCCATTTTGGCAGGTGGTTCCCAACCCCTGACTAACGGTTAGTAAGAAAATGGGCTATTCTTGTTTTAAATGGGGGAGGGGGAAGCTGACAGTCAACCAGGAGAACTTAGTCTTGACCAAGACATCTGCTAGGAATTACAGTAACCCTGCATCTGGTGATAAATAGGACATCTGAACTGCAGGAGGAACCACTTGAGCACAGAGGTACTTTCCAGAAAAGTAACAGGATGTCAGACTAAGGAGTTAAATAAAAATAGGCATGCAGCTTGAAATAAAAATTCTGCTTCCCGGCTGAAAAGTTGAAAAACAAAAATAAGTGAACTAGAGTGGAAAATCTGCATGATTACAAATCTCAGGTCATCAGAATACAACTATACTAGTAAGATGTATAGTTCTGGCCACCTGACCAGGAGAAGGTCATTGAGTGCACAGGGTTGAGAGAGATCAAACAGGCAACTCTAATAAAACAGTAATTAACTAAATGTGACTTCAACTAAAAACAGGTCAAAAGGTCACGTATCACATTGGGGTCAGGGTGTAGAGAGGCAATATACACACATTTTAAATGATTGTAGCTTGGAATTGTGAGCTCTAGTGCACACAGGAGGAAAGAGGCCACTAGTGGCAGTCCCAAAGTGTTTATTCAAGTAACTATCCTTGAACCACTAGGTCACAGTGACCAAAGTATAATACAGTTTAACATCAGCCAGCGAGAAAGCAAAACAAATGCTGGCAGTCAGACTAAATGTTAGGAAGAGAGATTTCAAACACAGCAGAAAAAGGAAGCTACTTTAAAAGACCCTAATGTCAAAAGTGAGCATTTTATCTCATCATGAAGGCTACTATAGAAAACTCCCAGAAGGCATGCTTTCCCCTCAACAAAAAGAAGCAGAAAAGCAGGAAATAAACAGTGCTTAAATTGCAAGGTGCAAGAAGTAATTTGAGCCATACCAGATAGAAAATGAAACTCTTGTGAAGTCAATAGAATGGACCATAAATTCTGGTAGGTAAAATACATAATGAATTTAGGAGAGCTAAAAGGGAATTTGAAGAGCAAATGGACAAAGACATAAAATAAATTAAAATGTTATTTAGGTATATCAAAAAATAATGGGGAATTGATGAGTCTGCTGGGCCCCCAGGGGGAAAAAGAAGCAAATAAAGTGGATAAAGACATTTGCAGAGAGTTAAATGTTTTCTTTGCCCTTTTCTTTACCATGGAAGATTTACCTTTTTTCAGGTGGTAAGGAGGGGGTATTATCAGAGACATCAAAAGACATATCCATTCTTGGGAAATGACAATATTCTGGTGGAGCAACATTTTGGGGTAGAGGCTTCTATAAATCAGTGAGCCCTGGTCTACACTAGGGAGTTATTTCAAAATAACTCCCCTTATTTTGAAATAACAAACAGATCGTCCACACTACCAAGCCTGTTATTTCTAAATAAGAGGCTGGTTATTTCAAAATAATAGCTCCTGATTTCCATGAGGAATAACTCTTGTTTCAAAATAGTTATTTCAAAATAGTGGTAATGTGGACACTCCACTGCTCCTAGTTCAAAATAACTACTTCTTAGAGTCATTCAAAGTAATTACTCCCCAGTGCTTCCTGAGGCTCTAAGTTGAGTTAGCGTGTCCACTTAGAGGGAGCCTACGTTGAACTAATTTCGAGCCTTCCCTGTAGTGTGGACACACTATTTTGAAACTGTCATTTCAGGAGTTATTATTTCAAAATAAGTTATTTTGAAATAATTTCCTAGTGTAGACATGCCCTGAGATGGCTAGATGAGTCCAATCTTTATGCTGTTTAACTGCAGGCCTCAGATCAGAGCTAAGACCCCTGGGAGTTATATAACAGTAAATATTACATCTAAGGATTAATTGAATTTCTCTTGATAACAGTAAAGGAAAGAACTGAGGAAATAATTAGGAGTTATGATTCACCAATTCTAAGAAGAATTTAGAGATAACAAAATGTTCACAGACAGCAGAATTCTTTCTACGCACCTTTCCCTCCTTTTTGCTGGCTAGCAGTAGGATGCATCACTTGGTTTTCTGGAATATTTGGCAGAGTGTGGTAAACAGTTCCTTCAGAATATAAATCTGTTGCACTGTTCTTCAAGAAATTAAGACAACGAAGAGTTACTACCAGAAAACACTATGGCCATGTCTAGACAGTGGGGCTATTTTGGGATACCAGAAGTGTCCTGAAATATTCAATTCCACGTTTTTAAACACACCCGTTATTTTGCAATATATTTCAAAATAAAATATTCCAGAATCCCTGTAACCCTCGTTCCATGAGGGTTAAGGGACTTGTCGGAATAGTGCTTTATTTTGAAAGACGACCTGTACAGACAGCACCAAATTTTGAAATAAGCTATTTCAAGGTTAGGGTGCTATGTAGACACACCCTATGTGAGAAAAAAAACTTGGAAAGAACTGATTCACTGGATTGCATCAAGAATCCTAGCATTCATCAAGTGACACACACATTTTCCCCACCACTACTGTGTGTAGTTCCCAGGGTTAACAAAGAGCATTGTCAAGCTAGGAGGTGATAGCTGTCCCCTGGGGAAACAAGGTGGATAAGGTAATGTCTTTTAGTGGATCAACTAGAAGATTTACCTAACAATGCTCAGGTCCTTAACTCAAATTTTGTTTTTCTTCATTTAAATCATTGCTCTGGGGTGGGGGTGTGGATGAGGGGTTCAGTGTGCAGGCTGCCCCAGGGAGCAAGAACAACCCCAGCCCGCTCTCACCACAGCAGCTTGGGGCCAGGTGAGAAGTGCCTCTCCATGGCCACTGCAACTCCAGCGGGCACAGCCGGGGGAGGGGTGCATGTCCTCTGGCTGGGGGACAGACAAACAGACAAACTCTGAAATACACTGTAGATAGCTGTCCCTTTCTCCACCCCTGCTGGCCCAATGGGGCTATAGGTGTCCAGAGCCCAATTTCTGGTCCCTGTAGTCATTTTACAGTATAACTGTCCCTACTACCAGACCCCTCCCTTTCCATTTTATGAGAAACAGTCACATTCCAGGCACATCCTATTATCCTGGCACAACCAAACCTTGACCTTGCTTTAAGTTTTGATAAGGGGCAGCTGCATACCAAATTTGGTGGTCCTAGTTCCTACCATTTAGGAGAAATTCTTGAACAAATGGACTCACAGACAGAAGGATGGACACACAGACACACAAACTTTTTCAAATATATAGAGTAGATTTCTGTTGGTGAGCGAGACAAGGTTTTGAGCCACACAGAGCTCTTCTTTAGGTCTGGGCATAGGTAATGACTTCCCCTCTAGCTGGAGGGTTCTTGACCCCCCTTCCCAGTCCCAAGCCCTGCGCGTACTCCACTCCTTTCTCCAAACTCCTACCCCACCTCTTCCTACCCTAGTCCACCTCCACATTGCCTCTTCCTGCTCCTGCTTGGCACCTGAAGCCAAGATTCTGATCCTGGCCCGCCTCTTCCCTGCCACCTCTTCTGAGTGTGTCACATTCTCAGTCCTCCCTCTCCCTCGTGGAGCACCCCCACTGCTCCGGTGGGAGGTGCTGAGAAGAAGGGGGAGGAGTTGGTCAGCTGGGCTGCTGGGGGACAAGAGGTGCTGGGGGGATAGGGAGGGAGAGTGGGAAGCCTAGCTACAGGCAAGTACTGAGTATTGGCTAATTCTTTCCTATGCATCTTCCAGCCCCAGAAAATCCACAGAGTCAGTGTGTATGTGTCTGGGAAAGGTAATCCTAGCCTCACATACAAGATGAGACAGATTGTTGTAGCAACCGTAGTTAGCACATATGCTAAGGGACATTCAAGGTAGAGTGGCCCATTAACACCCTCTGATATCAAAGGAGAAAAAGGAGGTTACGGATTGTTGTAATGAACCATAAATCCAGTGGGTCTGTTCAGACCATGATTTTTAGGCTATGTTTACAATACAGGTTATGTCAGTGAAACTTAGGCCAGGTCTACACTAGACTTGGAAGGTTGGTTTAACGTATGCAACTCCAGCTACATAAAATATGTAGCTGGAGTCAGTTTACCTTAAGCTGAACTTGGCACTATCTTCACAAAAGGAGGCCGACAGGAGCAAACACTCCCCTTGGATTCCCTTACTCCTCGTGAATGCCAGGAGTACCAACATTGACCAGAACGACCCTCAGTGTTCCAGGTAGTGGGTCTTAACTAGACCCACTAAATCGAACGCCAGAAGATCAATCTCCGGCGCGTCAAGTGGAGACATGACCTTACAAATAAATCACCTCCTGAGTGACACAAATGTGTGGAAAGAACTATGTTGCATGGACTGGAGTAATTAAGCTGATGGGACAATTTAGAGTGGCCACATTCAAAAGCATAAAGCAGCACAGCTGCATTAGTGCAGCTGTGCTGCTGTAAACGGTCTAGCATTGCCATGCCCTTATGAATTTAAGCTCCCAGGCTCATCTTTTGAAGGTGTTATGCAGGTTTCCTTTGAGCATGAGGATGGATAGATATAGAGTGATTGCTTTGATGGAACCAAGCTACCAGTGACTATCACCAGGTCTTCCCACTGTGGAGGGGACTTTGTGGGGAAGGCAATGCAGCCTAGGATCTATCAGCATGTTAATAAGCAGACCAAGGAGTAAGGGAGTAAGTAATATTTTCTTTCAATATTTGGTTTACCATGTTCATTTAAAAAAAGGAGAATGGCCTTGCAGGACAGAGATGTGTCAAGGACCTCTTCTCCAAATCCCCATCACCTTCCCCACTTTAAAATTAGGCTGACAGTAAGGCAACCACATGCACAGTACTTGGCAATCTTGCTTTTCTTCATATAATCCATGTCAGTCAAGAGAATTATTTAAAAACATCCTAAAATGGAGGGACGGGAGGAGACTGGACACAAGTTTGTTCTTCTCAGCCTGCTGCTAAAATAATATAAAGATGATCCTTCATGTCTTATTGGTATTTTTGTTAAGTTTGCACTCACATTAATTGATGAACCACTGTCTAAATGTCTAAGAATTATATCTCCACCACTACCCTTTGATCTTCTCTACTCAATGGTGTAAATAGTTAAGGCTGGTGCTACAGGGAGACCAGGAAACAGACTGTGCAAAGATTTTTTCTCATGCTGCTTCATCTGAATTATTTCTGACCAGGCTAGATTTTTGTCAGGATGTAAAATATGAACAGCCAGATTTCATTTTACAGATGCTTGCTCCTACATGGTGTGATTTACTTACAATTACATTTCTCCAGTTGTATACTGGTTCTTCTGTAGGTGGCGCAACAAAGTAGTTTGGACTGACATGGAGGTGAGGATGATGGTTGATCAGGGTCAGACAATTTTTATAATCTTCTTGAGAAATTGGGAAAAAAATAGAATAAGTAAGAAAAAGGAAGAAAATAAAAGTTAAAAAAAAATCACCTCCACCACTCTTCCTTCTGCTTCACCGCTCTACCAGTTCACCTTGTCCTTCTCTGTCTGCCTTCTAGATTATAAATTTCACCAGAGCAGGGATTCACTCAATATTAGTGGCTTCTCCAGCACTAATTATAGTAGCCACATACTAAAAGTAATAATAATAATAATAATTAATAATGCTATGTTGTTGGGTTTATTTAGATTGATGAAAAATAGAAGTCCTGAAAAGAGAGTCATTGGTCAGTATAAAATATGTGACAACGTTCCTCCTCAACCTCAAATAGTTTGGATAATAAAGAAAAGATGCATGTTCACCAAATAGAATGATGAATTCAAGGAATATCATAGAAGACTAAAACAAATATTAGAATTATTAGAACAAAAAAGAACATTTTGATTACTTCCTATGCAGATGTCCACCAGGTCAAGCAAGTGGAATTAAATTATAAACAGAATTATGTAAGAATGATTTTAAGCAGTTTCATTCTTCCTATTTATCTGAAAATCTTTATAATGAGGGGCCTGGAGAAGGTTACTAATCTAAATGAACTACAGGAAAAAATTCCTGTGAACATCTGTAATGCCAAAAAGAATTTGACTGAAATAACTTAAATCCTTAGGATGTTTAAAGACAGCATAATGGAACACTGGGTTGATAAGTCTTTAAACAATTACATGCTGTTTAAATGAACAGAAGACTCTTTTGAAGGGATATGGTTCTTGCATTTTGAAATATGGATTAAATCCTGAGAAGTGCTGAATGCTGTGAGTTTCAAATGCCTGGCACCTCTGTGGATTGGGACCTGTATGGCTTTAGATAAGATCAGTGCTATTCATGATATAAATTACGAGGACGTGTAAGAAATTATATATAAAGACTTCTTCATCCAATGTAAATCAGCATAGAAAGGAGTTATGCTGATGAAAATCCGCTGAGGATCCGACCCAAATATATGTTACCATTTCTTCATATTAGAGTATGATAGGTTAACATGGCAAATAGTAATATATGTCTCTTGGGAGAAACCCTGGCTCATTGAAGTCAACGGGAGTTTTGCCCTTGACTTCAGTGGGGCCAGGATTTAACACTTTGTCTTCCTGTTTCCTATCTCTCTTCATGATGTAAAATTAAAAGCTCAAGTGGTACAGTATTTGATTCACAAGCCCATCTCTATATTGCAAATTTCAGTTGACAGCCTGTCACTGTTTCAAGTTTTTAAAAGCCATCATGTTTACACTTATAACTTATAAAACACAGTTTTCTAAGAGATGATCCAGAACTCAAGTTACTATATATGCACAAAAATATTTTATCTTAACTTGCATTTAAAGAATCCATCTTAATGTAAATTCAGTCGATATAGAAATCGATTGTCCTTTTTTTGGGGAGGGGACTGCAACTTGTTGGTACATCCCATTCTTCCATAGTGTATTGGAACAGGAAAACCGAAAAATGGCTGCTGCACAGTAATTATGAATACTTTGGCAATAGGAAACTATTTTCCAAACAAAGCAATGTAAGAGTTTTTCTGTGTAAAAATTTTAAAAATAAAAAAAATTAAAATGATAATGTATAATGAAAACTTTTTTTTTTACCTGGTGAATACTGAATCTCGCCATCAGAATGTTGCTGCAACACCTCTAGCGCATCTTCAAAGGCTTGACCCAATATGTCTTGGTCAGTATAATACTGTAAGAACAATACATCCTTTCTTTTTTAAATCAACAAAGAACAGCTTTGATCCTTTAGATTCCAATTATTTGGAAAATCCCAAATAAACGGATATTGCCATACATTACAGATAGAATAAACCATTCCAGAAGAATATAAATTTTACAGATATGACTACCTGATCCTGTAACCCTTATACATGAGAGTAGCTTCTGGTCCTTTGAGAAGTCTCTTTGTGATCAATAGGACTATTAACGTAACTGTATTTACTCATGAGTGTTCCCAGGATCATGTCTTTAATTTGCAGCAAAAGTTTGCAAAATTGTATTGTCCCTTAGTCTTTAATAGCAAGATGTGTATAAATATATATATATATATATATATATTAATAACTTAATACATTTGAAGTTATGAAGCAGTAACATAGAAGCGGCTTAAAAGTGTAACACACAAGTTAGGAACTGTTACGCAATGAGCAGCCTATAATATTATAAAGGAGCATATGGGAAACCACGTTGTGAAATTTTACAAAACCACATATTGCCAGTGGCAGGCAGATCAGTATTTTATTCAAAGTAGGGATAACAATAATGTTGCAAACTATGCAAACTCCTAAGAATTTTCTAGTAGCAAATTGGAAACTGTTCTTAATGAAAAATAAAAAAACTGTTCTTAATGAAAAATAAAAATAAAAGACTTACCATTATTTAGAAACCAAAGCTGCAATCCTGTTTAAAAGGAAACAATATTATTTTCAGGTATTTCAATATGACTAAAATTATTTCAGTGGAATGAGAGGAGTTACCAGTACAACTCAGGACAGAATGTGATGTAATATTTATATAACTGATAACAATATTGATAAAAACCTACTTATATTTAGAAAGTGCAATTTTTTAACATTTTGATATAATCAATGATACATTAGTCACACTATTGATTTTAGAGGTTTGTCTTAGATTTTGTATTAAAAATTCCACAGTGTCTCAATATTAATATTCCATCGAAGCACCAGGTTACTTTCAGTAAAACAATTAATTCTGACATTATTACCTCACATATTTAACATCTATAAACTAACATTGTGGAAAAATTTTAAAGTCAATATATATTGCTATTGGCATTAAATCTTGATTACCTTAATCTCTTAATTTCCCAAATAATCTTGGCTGAACTCAACTGCTGGTATATAAGTCTTTCTGGTTTTCAGACGTCACTGAAAACAAGAATAGTTTTTTTTCCCCCAGCATAACAGCATATCAATATATATGCATATATATTCTCCTGCGGAATAATTGTCAGTCCCACAAGCAAATTAGATTGTTTTATAAACAGTGATGACAGATTAACTTTTAACCAGCTCAGCATAGAATACATGTGATGTGCAGTGTTACATAAAGATGGGTTTCTTAGCATTTCTTTTGACATATATAGACATATATATTTATGCAGTTTTATATAATAGTTTTTGCTATCTCTCTGAAATTTCACCTACTTTTTTTCAATTTTAAGTGTTATATTTAAATTCTCTTAAAAAGTTAATAAATCAATATTTTATCTTGTTAAAGGTTTGATATGCATATGTGATTGAAGTATATACATACAAATGAGAAATAAACATTTGTTTCTAACTGACCGCAAATATCTGACATGTACACTCCTTTCAATAAATTGCAGTATATTTTTAAAATGTATTTCAAGCTACTGTCTAATTTTATACATATCTTTTCAACTCTTCCTGACTCAGTTGTTTGCTATTACAATGTGATTCTGAGGATCTAAACAAAACGTGTGAAATCTTGGCCCAACAAAGTCAGTGGTTGTTTTGCCATTGACTTCAGTGAGGTCAATATTTTTCCTCAGTGTCCTGTCTCGGTAACATACACAGGAAGAACCAAGTTAATCTTTGGTATAAAGATATTTAATTTCGGAGATAACTGAAGACAGATTTTGGCCCACGTATTTGTGGCATACTGAGTTTTAGACATTCCTTGAGTCTGCATTGCTGAACTCAATGGGAGTTCATATTTAAAATGCATTCCTGGCATTTTAATTAACACATTTCTTAAAATGGAACTGGTTTTATCCAACCAAAATTCCAAATTACTAAGTAGTAAAGTTGATTACATAGCTACAGGAATTGATGGTTTACATAACCTAACAGAGTAAAATATTGACTACCACTGAATGTACCATTTGCAGAGCCAAAAATGGAGAAAGAAGAAAAATAGTTTGAATACTTACCTTGGGTAGAAACTTCACACACAACAGAAAGAATCAGTTCATAAATAATGAAGGAGTGAATTATGACAGCAATAGGCTGGCAGAAAGGTTCCATTAAATAGCTGATTTTGGGGAAGTGCTTCAACGAAAGGTTTTTGTTTTGTTTTTGAGCAAAGGTACAACACAGTGCCCTCATAATTCTTCATTTTGCCTAGGGCAACAGAATGTCTGCAGAACTTTTCCCCCCAAAAGCACAGCAATTTTCTTTGGAATAAAGTAAAGTGTTTAAATTATTACTTAAAATATAAAAAATTATAAGTACAAGCAGTCCCCGGGTTACATGGATCCGACTTACATCGGATCCCTACTTACAAACGGGGTGAGGCAACCCCGCACTAGCTGCTTCCCCCCAGCAGACCAGGGAGATGTGAAGCTAGCGCCCCCTCCCCCCAGCAGACCAGGGAGACGCGGAGCGGCTTTTCTCAGCAGACACCTCAGCTTGAGAATAAAGGACTGAGGGAAGTGAGGTGTGGGAGAATAAAACTGAGCTCTGGAGAAATGTTTGGCTAGAGTTTCCCCTACAATATGTACCAGTTCTGACTTACATACAAATTCAACTTAAGAACAAACCTACAGTCCCTATCTTGTACGTAACCCGGGGACTGCCTGTAATTAAAATAGATGTGGCATGATTGCGGGTGTGAGACAGCCTTGTAAACCTGTCGTGACAATGTTACAGCCCAAGTACAAAATTTGCTTGCCTTCCCTTTGTCATGAAGATGAAGATGATTGGGATGAGGTGTAAGAGTGGAGAAAGACAGAAGGCAATGGATGTGATTTAATTAGGCCACAACTTATTCACTTAAAATACCTGATAATAAATTATACAATGCATATAATTATTTAGTTAACTGTTTTCTCCAATGTAGGATGGCTCTCTCAGCCCTCCCCCTTTCCAACCTGGTCCCAGCCAGCCTGTTGTTGGGACCCTGCTACCATCCCCTTGTATGAAAGCTAAGGGGTCTCAAAAAGGAGGGGGGTAGGCTCTCTGCTGTACCACACATTGGGAGTGCTGAACTTATCAGTTTCTTCCCTAATATCAGACAAAATTGCTCCCCTGTCAGCTGATACGATATGTGCAGCTAAGTAATGACCAACTCCTACTGATCACACTTGGAAATATACATCTCCCAATTTATGTGCCTTCTGGCCTTCTCGATCCATGAAGGCTTTGTGGTTCCATGCCATTTCAGACCAAATAATTGTCATAACCTGGGGAAAAATCCTGGATCTGCCCCAAACCATTCTTAATTTTGGTTGTCAAATCAACCTCCTGACACACTCCTCAAGAATTTTGAGGTGAAAAATAATCACATCTGAGCCCAGAGCCCCAAAGGGATTTAGGCACCTAACTGCCAATGATTTCAATGGAATATAGGAGCCTAAATACATTTGTGGATCTAGGAGCTGGTACCTGCAGTCATGGTAACACATTTTTACTTGTCCATCAATCTTTCCTGGGAGGGTAACCTTGTGGGATTTTGCTAGAAGGATTTTGGAAGGCTGTTATGGAATCAATAAAGCCACAGTTAATATAGTCTTCTCATGCATTCTGATTTACTTTATTATAAAGTACACTTATATCTAACAATTGTGCCCAGTTACCTTTCCCCAGCAATGGGTCAGATCCTTAGCTGGTATAGCTCATCATAGTTTCACTGGTTTTATGCCAATTTATATCAGCTAAAGTTATGCCCAATGTAAAAATTAGGAAGAAACTTCTCTAAATCAAAATCCTAGTCATAAACACTCATGGTCTTTGAGAACATGCGGAGATAGAGCTGAACTTCCTGACTTACTTATTCTAAACAATGTACCAACTCAAGCCCCAGATCTGAACAACATACATTTTGGGGAAGTCTGATTCTGCATTTTATAGTGCAGATCAGCAGCTGTAGCCCAGCTCTAGTCTAACTGTTAATTAGACTGATTCTCCACAATGTATTCAGACTTTCTGAGTTTGTGCAAGCCCTAGAATTCTGAAAATGGCTGGTTTTGTCTCAAACTAATTTAGATAAAGGAAAGAATACCCTTATGCAGCAGCCCCTCAGAACATAGGTACTCTCCTCTTGGGTGTTGCAGAAGGAAAGTTTCTTACTCCGTATTAGTCCAGAACTCCTGACTGCTGGAGTGCACCTCCTCTCACCTGTGTCTAGGTACCTAACTTTTCAGAGTCAGGCCCATCTGTTTTGCCATATTTTCCAAAGTGACTTCAATTGCATCTCATGCAATGCTATAAAATAGTATTCATCCAGATGAGCCAAACAGTATCTTTAACAATCTCAGTGTGAAACTGACGTAAGTAGAATGACTGTCAATTACTAGGAAAAACTTAAAAAACAACAAATAGTCTAGCAGCACCTTAAAGACTAACAATATATGTAGATGGTATGATCTTTTGTGGGTACAACCCACTTCTTTAGATGACTAATACTGCACATGGCTCTGATCTGTCAGTATAACTGAATTGCAGGCAACATTATTAGCACCTACAAGTGTCTACAAAGCCAATTTACAAAACAAGGCCCTAAACTTTCAAGATATCTGGCATTTTTCATAGAAAAATACAGCACTGTAATGATCCAGTGGTGGTGTTTTAAATCTAGCATTTCATTGTACAAATTATTCTGACCAGGCTTGTATTTTTAAAGGAAAATGAACTGCAAGAAGTGTTCTTAAAATTGTGAATCATGATTGAGTCTGTGATGTGTGTCAAAAGCTGATTGAGCAATTAGCTTCCTGTCCATCTCCTCTTCAACTTTACTAAGTAGTTAACCTAACGGTTTTGCTCTGCAAAGTGACACTAAAATAAGTTTTATAGTTTATCTCTTTCTTGCAACAGAAACATAGTGCCAAATCTTTCCCGTTGCCTCAGACTTTTTAAATAAGAATGGGCTCCAAAATATGTAGCAGAAATTGTACTTATTTGTGCTTGTTTATATAACATTAATCCAAAACACTACAGGCCAGATTCTGACCTCAGTTACTCTAGAGTAAACTCAGAAAAAACAATATATAAATTCATGAAATTAGGTCAGTGAAACTAACATCAGAATCCAGCCCCATATCAAGTACGCTGGAACAATTTGCATAGTAGGGGCATTGAGAGCCACTGAACCAAATTGTAAAAACCTGTTTAAGGTGGAAATCACTTCAAGCCAGAGTATGTAGCAGAACCTATGCCCAGATTCTCTCCGTGTTCTTATCAGGTAGTGATGCATTATTGCAGGAAATATCATGGTCTGCACTTGTATTTGTGAGGCCAGGTCTATGCTAGACCTGAAAGATCTGCTTAAGTTACACAACCCTAGCTACGTAAATAACATAGCTGGAGTTGACATACCTTAAGATGAGCTTGGCACAGTCTCCACAGCAAGAGGTGTACTGGAGTGTTTGCGAGGAGTAGGAGTACCGGTGCCAATCAGGGGCACCCTCAGCATTCAAT